TGCTCTAGGCCCAATTTCCTGAGGCCTATCACCACCAAGACTTACACACACAAACAAGCCTACTGAATTCAAAGAGTAGTAGATGCTCAGCATCAGCGAGAGGCTTCCTTAACTTTCCTCCAGGTATAATGTCATCAGCTATTGCAGGAGAAAAATCTAGAGTCTTGAACTGAAGTCCTGACTAGTAAGGAAGAGAATACATCATTTTCCAAGTATTTGGTTTCAAAAACACATTGAGTTATTCGTAGGTCTAAACAGTGTTCTTCTAATTATGCTGCATCTTAAACAAACAAAAAAAGTCTTTCATGTAAGGCCCTTGCCTCACAAATACACAGTACAGGCAGTCCCCGGGTTATATGGATCCGACTTACATCGGATCCCTACTTACAAATGGGGTGAGGCAACCCCGCACTAGCTGCTTCCCCCCCAGCAGACCAGGGAGACACGGAGCGGCTTTTCTCAGCAGACACCTCAGCTTGAGAATAAAGGACTGAGGGAAGTGAGGTGAGAGAGAATAAAACTGAGCTCTGGAGAAATGTTTGGCTAGAGTTTCCCCTACAATATGTACCAGTTCCGACTTAAATACAAATTCAACTTAAGAACAAACCTACAGTCCCTATCTTGTACGTAACCTGGGGACTGCCTGTAACTACTAGAGCTGTCAATTAGTGGGTGTTAATGCCTGCAATTAATGCAGGGCAGAATTAACACATTTAAAAATTAACTTGTGTTAATAGAGGGGGTCAGCAAACCAGCATGAGCTGTTCCAGCGCTCATCTCTGGTAAGGTACAGTAATGCAAACTGCTGCCAGAGGGCGCACAGAAAAAAGCAGCAGCAAGAAAGGAGAAAAAAGACCCCGAAGATGTCCCAACTCTAAGGGAAAAGTAAACAAGAAAAATAGAGACCGTGATACCCATCCCTCTCCCCTCTCAAGTGACTGTATTTTTTAAAACAAAACAGCTGGGGAAGAGGGGGCTTGCCTAAGCTGTCCTCCCTGCCCCCCCAGCAGGGCTCACCCAAGCCACACTCTATTTGCCTGCTGGGGCTGGGACTGACCTCCCCCCACATCTGATTCTGGGGCTGACTCCCCCTTCCTGAACTCTGCACTGCCCATGGTGGGGTCTACCCCCACCAGTCCAGGGGCTGACCTCTCCTCTGAGCCCTATGCCACCTGCAGGTGGGGGCTGAGCCCCTCCTCCCCCCGAACTCTGTACTGCCCACAGCAGAGTCTACCCCCATCAGGCCCTATGCTGCCCGCAGCTGGGGCTCAGCTAAAAAAGGACTCTTTTGAATAGGACACAAACATATTATATAGAACGGTTTAAGTTCAGCTTTCATGATAGAATTTGCACTACAATACTTCAGCCAAGTGAACTGAAGATTTTTTTACAGTGTAAATGTTTTGTAATAAAAATATAAAGTGAGCCCTATACACTTTGTATTCTGTTGTAATTGATTTCAATGTTAGAAGATGTAGAAATCATCCAAAAATATTTAAATATTCTTATTGTTTTACAGTGCAATTCATCACAATTTTTTTAAATCACTCGACAACCCTAGTAACTGCACATTCACAGCAAACCTCCTGGAACACTAAAAAGGCACAGATCCAGGATCCTGAATATTAAGCAGGAACCTGGGATACCAAGTAGCTCACTTCCAGTTGCTCCTATGTACTTTCTTCAGGAGAAAACAATTAATTCTAAGAAGTCTCTCACCGTGCTGGGTGTCTTGTTTTCCCTCAAACTGAAGCTCCTCGTAATAGCCAAGAAGGGGTCTGACTCCGCACTGGTCAAGAAGAGCTGGCGAAATTATAGCTAGTGAAAGGGAAACTATTCAGAGGGACTTTTGTAAAAATAATGAAAGTGAAAATAGAGGGACTTTGGTGCTTGTAATCCAAAGAGCAGGCAGTATGCCGAAGCGTGTGTCTAGACTACACAGTTTTTTTGGAAAACAGTTTCCTTTTTCGAAAAAAACTTCACCCACGTCTACACTACTGCCGCATTCTTTTGACAGTAAATTGAAAGAATGCAGCAGTTCTCAACAGCGGTAAACCTTATTTTACAAGGAATAACACCCTTTTTGACAGAGATCTGTCAAAAAAGGCGTGTGTGGACGTGGGAGGGGGGGTTCCCCAAAAAGAACAGACCTTCAGGGAAAAGCCCTGGTGGACATTCCATCTGCAAGAAAAACCTCTATTGTTCCTGTCTGTAGCCATGTCTTAAAGGCACAGGCGCCCTGGATAGCCATTGTGGCAGGAAGGCAGCCAGAGGAAGCCACTGACCACACAGCTCTCCCGGCCTGTCTACAAGTGCAAGACCCCTGAGGGCCTTCCAGGGAGCTGTCCCATGTGCCTCGCAGGGGCACACAGAGGCGAGCTCCAGCTGGTCAGGGCCAGAGGTCCTGACTTTTGGAACTATGGGCAGAGGAGGAATCACTGCAGGCTCTGCATGCCCGATGCCACAGTGCAGATATTTATGCCCGCATGGCCGAGGGGCTGGCCAAAAAAAGGACATCACCCCAGCCCCTTGGACTAGGTGCGGGCCAAGGTAAAAGAACCGGAGGCAGGGCTATGCCAGGGCCCACGAGCTCTACCTCAGGGGATGCGCCTCACCACTTGCTTCCAGGAGCTGGACAGAATCCTGGGGGGTGGGGAGCCCCTCTCTGCCCCAGTTCTTGTGCAGTCCGGGTTGCAGACACCCGTCCATCACTGCCAGGAGGGTCTTGAGGACAACCCAGAGCAGCAGCTGCAGGATAAAGAGGACGACGACGACGACGACCCCAACTGAAGTCTAGTCACCCTGATCCTGGAGGCCTCACAGGCATCTTTTGACACTGGTGAGGGAACATCAGGCGAATGGTCAGGGTCACACGCACAGAATGGGGAAGGTGCGAGCACAGGGAATGCGGGCCAATCTGCACATATGATCTGCCTGGACAGCTTGCACCTCTCTGTGCATGTGCAAGCATATTCATTCCCAGGGCATACCTGGGCTGGCACTCACAGCTCGGGGAGGACCCCACACATCTGACCCCAGTTCTCCCCCCACCAAGAACTGCGGGAAGCAGGCTGGTCACAAGGGCACACGCATGACACTACACAGACCACCACAAGTGTCACACCTAGCACTCAGGCATGTATGCACAAGCCACAACAATTGCTCCTGCAGACAGTGCTGCTATGGGCAGGCGGTGGGTATGTGGGTGGAGGCCCTGGGAGACCCAAGCTGCTCCAGGCCCCTGTCCTACATCTTGTGACCCACTGTGGCTGGACACTTTCCTGGGCTGTATGGCCATGGTGGGGGGAGAAGGCGAGGTAGCCACTGTGGGGCCCTGTGAGGCCAGTGCTGCTGGCCAGGCCAGATGTGGGCTTGCAGTGAGAACATTCCCATCCCTTGTTCTAAGGACTTACTCACTGATCACAAGCAGGGACAGTGTGCGCATTCGTAAAAAAACTGAGCAGCTCCGAATTGATGGCCCTCACCACCTGCAGAAATAGACACAGAATAGGAAGTTAGAGGGGTTGCCCGAGTCCTTTGGAGTGCCCCTTCTCTTCACCCCAGAGACCCCAGGAGCCCCCCCCACCCCAGTGGCTGCTCCC